TCCATCACTAGTCTTGTCAGCAGAAATAAAAAGGTTTACAGCCTGATCGCAGCTGTTTTAACCCCTTAGCAGTCCTACAAATTTACAATTAGTCCCCTAAACCATCCAATGTACCGTGGGCGGTACGTCCGACTGCTAACAGGTTTATGACCTGCTCACTTTTGAGTTTGTTAGTTTCATGACTGCTTTGACTGACCCAGCACAGGCGGGCGTCCGCTGGGCTTTACCTCCACTCATCTGAGTCTCTACAATGGACCTCTAGACCTTGTTTTTGTACGAACAGACCATCGGAGCAGTCTGTGCTGCAGTGTGACTGAAATTTTGTGTTTTTGTTTCTGAATCTGCGACCACGCAGGGGTCCACATGGGTCCAACCGACAAAACTGATGTCATCAAATGGTGAGCATGAAGCTCCGCGCAGACGTCCAACTTTTTAATGACTGCTTGGACTCTTTCACGCAAACATAAAGTGCACCCAAATGCCCTTTGAGCCGACTTCAAGCAGACTTCAAATAAGTATAACAGAAATAACTCATCCATCATCTATGCAGTCGTTCTGGTTTGAAACCGAATGTAACCCCTAGTTATGTGCACAAATTAGTTAACTAGCATTTAACTAATGATCTCTGTGTCTGTGCCCCTGTACAGCTTAAGGATGCTGCTTACTAATGAAGCAGCACCAGCTGCTGAACAAACGAGCATTTGAAACGTGTTCCCTTCTAACTCGAACCAACTAAATAAAAACAGTAAAAAAACAAAAATGCAAAGGTCCCGACGGCACAAACCGGAGCGAAGCATCTTTGCGTCTACGTCCATCTTTTATAAACAGTCTATGATTTTAACCCCAACCACAATCTTTTCCTCAACCTCAGCAAACAGCAAAAGCAGAAGTAAACAAAAGTCTGCTGTGAGTGAAACCGAACACAAACCGAGCTCTCCAACGGCGCACTACACCTGCCTTCTTACACTGTTACCACCATCGCTTACACATTTACAACAGCACTCCAAATAATGGTTATCAATTAGTTTCCAAAGCAATAATTAGCTCTTAATATTTATATTTTTATTCCTCGTGAACAGTAAAAAAAACCAAACAACTATTACCCAAAATTAACTTAAAGTTTTATTATAAAGTGTTAGATGGTGTTGTTCGTATTGTTCGTCACTGGGTATCATAAATAGTTAAGAATTAGTCTGTCAATGAGAGGAGCCACTGAGGCAGGCAGCTGTTCAGGGCCCACGCCAGTAACTTCAAACTACAATGACCTGATCTCCCTAAGAATGCCTGAGCTCTAGTTTTGATCAAACCTGATAACTGATGTGATCAATGAAAATGGTAAATGGTCTGCATTTGTATAGCGCTTTTCTAGTCCCTAAGGCCCCAAAGCGCTTCACACTACATTCAGTCATCCACCCATTCACACACACATTCACACACTGGCAATGGCAAGCTACATTGTAGCCACAGCTGCCCTGGGGCGCACTGACAGAGTGAAGAGGGGAAGAAGAAGAAAAGAGGAAGATGAGAAAACTTTGGCTTTAAACAGTGGTTAGCTTGGCCTGCAGAGCAGCCTGGTGTGTTTATCTCCACAGGCTGTCACATGACTGAGTTGAGGGTGTATGGCGGGAGTCAGAGTCAGGACACCACCGGTACACTGTAGACCGAAGGAACTATGAAATATGGCATAAATATCTTACAACCAGCCAGCTTGGTCCTGGCATCATTACTGAGCTAAACCTGGTCTCTTCCATTTCTACAGTTGCTGGTTTACTCTCTGTTTTATTGGGCACCAGTAACAGAGTGAAAACTGCCATCGTGAACAGTTTTCTCTAGTTCACTGATGACAGCTGTGTCTGCCGGGGCTAACTGCCAAAGCTGTGAATGCTAACTTATGAAACTGAGACGCAAAGAAATTTGGATGTGTATGCTAAGGTACTCTGATTACTCTGATGTACTGGTGTAAATTACTGTGCTGTGTGTACTTTATTGTCCATTCATCCATTCTCTTCTGCTCATCCTCATCAGGGTCACACATCCCAGCTACCACAGGGCAAACAGAGACACGACAACCGCTCACACGTACATTCACACCTATGGGTAATTTAGAATTCTAATTCTATAATGTGAAATAATTTACTACATCCCTTCATTAAGTTTTCTCAGAATGATTACGTTTCTGGCACCAGCAGGAAAGAGAAGGGTTTGGTCCAACCTTTAAACGTTAACTATAGGTTCAGGATTCCACTTTTAACTGATTATACTGTATGTACAACGTGCTCTGAAGAGTCCCCATGACAGGACGTCGTGTTCCCGTTTGTCATGTCAGTTCAGTCATCAGAAACAAAAAAAATGATCTTTGAAAGTGATATACGTTCTTACTTATATTACTATTTATAATGTGAATTTCTGCCAAAGGCCCCAACAGACACCAGAATCATCAATGACTGCAGCTTTGCAAGCAATTTTTATTATATAAAAGATAAATTAATATAGATACAGATGCCTGTGAGGGACTTAATTAAAATTAAAACAATAATGTAAACGTCAAAAAACTCTTGATATATCCATATAAAATGTTATATATAAAAGTCCTACCTGCTGTACAGTGTAGAATTTTAATTTTCTGATGCTCATTTTAAATTGCTGCAATATTATCAATAAAACACGATTTTCTAATTAGAACGTTAATACAATTTTTCAAATACGTGTGTGTCGTCTTACAGCTCGTCTCTTCGGTCTCAGCAGCGGTGTGTTGTTGGCTTCCTGTCCGAGGCTGCAGGTGTTGCACAGGAGTCGACCTGCAGCGTCTCGCCTCCACAGGGGGGCGCTCTGCGTCCCACAGCTCACGCACTCGCGCTGCTCTGAGCAAACGATGACAAATTACACATCAGCACAAAAGACACACACGCAGATCTACTAGCACAGGCAGGTAATTACTCACCTGGTCCACATCTCTGCCCCCAAGACAGACTGTCAGGTAGCATCCAGTCACCTGCAGAGGGGGAGGAGGGTGTGTACAGGTCGCCATGGTAACTGTTACATCCAGGTGTTGAGGAGAGGAGGTGGGTGGGGGATGGAATCAGAGCATGATTACTATACAAGGATGAAGAAGATGCAGGTGGGATGTAAGCAGGGCTCGGTGACTGACAGCTGGAATCATTCAGCCAGAGGCAGGGGGTGAGGAGGAGCGAGGGAGGGGCCTCTTGGGATGTGCATGGTGATTGGAGGAAAGTGTCTGAAAGGACAGGCCCCACCTGAAAAGAGATCATATCAATGTAAGAGAAACCTGCATCTGACATCTAACAGATCAGCTCATATCAAAACTACCACAGGCTCCCTGACCCCTGAGGAGCCCGGCTGTGGGGTCAGTGACCTAACAGAAAAGGCGTAACAAGAATAAATAAATATATCATATATACATCAATATATAAATCAACTAAATATCAGATGAGGAAACTTTGTTATGTTTGATGAAGGTCAGGCGCTCTGGACGCGTCACAAAAGAAGAAACAAATAATTTCCTGTAATTACTTTTAAAATGGCCTCAGAAGGCCTCGTTCTTTGAGGAATATCAGGAATTTTTGTAAGATCAGGGCCACATTCATCGAACCGAGCTAAGCTGCAACCCCTTTAGTCCCCGGGTACCATCTCTGATACACACGTTTTTTGGGTGTTTTTGAGACATCTGCATCATCAGTGTGATTTTTTTCCCCTGAAAAGCCTGAATTAATTGCACAATACTTTTTTAAGTATTAAAGTATTAAACATTTTTTTAAATGCCAGACGTCGCAAATACGATACAAATGTAAAGTCATATGCAGAAATTCAAATTTCAAGAATTTTTCAAACTAATTTGTCAGATGTTTCAATAAACTCTCCATTTTCCAAAACAAAAATTCAATCTTCTTTCAAAGAGCTAAACGTGTGCATAAGAATCACCAAATAATTTATGGCGAGCCAAATAACATTATCAGGACGGCACTTTTTACTTCTGTACAGGTAAAAGCACATTAAAGCAAAAACATTAACTACTTATTCAGAAGAAAGAAAACCCCACTCCATATGTTTATTGAACATCAGATTACATACTTCCATACTTGTACTTGATTATATTTTGACTCCATAAGCAGGAATATAATAAAAGACTCTCACCTTCGTACTGAAGCTTGTTTCAGATCTGCTGGACGTCACAGCAGAAGACCAATAAGCTAACGGCAAATAGTTTGACATCATCGCTGAATTTCTAAGAGGAGGAAAGAAAAATTAAAGACTGAGTGAGTGCTCTCTCTAACACAAAGGATCACTGCTCTATTTTCTGATGGTACTCACGGAGGCTGAAGAGCTTTGAGGGCTTTAACTTTCTCTGAATGCTGCTCTGGGGTCTGAAGGAGGGCGACCAGGAGGAAGAGGAGGTGTCTGACTCCTCCTACAAATTCTGACGTGGGTTTTTTGAAGGGGATTTTTTTTATTATTGAAATTTTGAGTTTCCAGTGTTTACATAGCTGTTATCATTTACTGCTGTAAACATGGTATAATATGAGATCACTGTCAGACTACTGGAGTCCAGGTTCAGCCCACAACTGGCCTCAAAAACACATCAAAAAGTATAGAAAAGAAAAAAATTCTTCTTCTACTTTTCCTGGTTTGCTGTTCCAGTCGTGAACGCTCTAGTTAAACATCGCCACACACAGTACTGAGGTCAGTGTGTGTACAAATAATCACTAATCCACAGGTTCAGTCTGCTCTTACACTCCGTTTCAGTCAGTTTTCTTTACTCTTGGTTCTGTAAGATGTCAGTGAGTGCATTCTTTGATATGGTCGTCTCAGGCACACAGCTCACGCTGTAAACACATCATTATTTTCAAGATTAATTCTCAGAAATGACATATTTAAAGGGAAAAAATGGTCAGGAACCAACCCAACTTCTCCACACTTTACTTTAAATAAAACTCACAACATGTTTCATAAACAGAACAGAAACAAATATTTTTAGAATGAAAATCTGCTTGATTTTGTGTGGGTTTTTTTTTTAATTATTCCATCCTTTTACCAAATGGAGACCCAGTGGAGCTAAACATTAATTCCTTTTAGTCGATAAATTCAGTGTGTGGAAATTTAACTGTATTAGGTCATTTTCTCACGGTTATAAGTGGTTACAGAAGAGGTTCAGGCTCAGGAAAGACTGTCAGAAATCTTCTGTGTGAGCTAAAGTTCATAAAACAATGAGGATTCAGTCCGAAGGAGAGGATTTAGTAAACTAGATAATAAATAAATATATAAAACAAGATTAACTGGTATAAGAGCAGCTGAGAGATGGTAAAGATCAGTGGTCAGTTCAGAGGCAGGAAGCGTATCCCTGTATTAGGGCAGGGTCTACCATACTGTTCTGCAATGGTAGGTCCACTGAGAAGTCAGTGGGCGGAGCCTGGAAACGTTGGCGGGGGGGTCGCCCTCCCCTTTCAGGGATGGGCAGCTCTGAGTGGTGAGCAGGAATTGGCGAAGTGAAGAAATATGGATGGAGGAGAGCCTGCAGTAAGGAGGAGAGGACATGGAGAGCACCGATCAATAATCAGGTTATTAACCTTTATCTGAGTGATAATGGGTGATAAACAGACCACAGTGATCAGGGAAAATATAACGGCTATGTCCCAAGAAATGATTCTTTACGTAAAAATGAGAGGACCTCTGACCGAGCCCTGAGGAACTCCGTTTTTAAACTTAAGCTCTGCTTCAGGTTTCTTACCTCTCTGGCTGAGCAGCGCTGTTTAGATGGATACACCAGGAACTTATAGAGCAGGTCCACTGCCTGAGGGGGCGTGTCAGGGATGATTTCCTCCAATGGGATCGCTGGATTCTCCTTAAAGGTGATTTTATTGTAATCTGGCAACTCCACTATCTCCTGGAGACAGACAGGAGAGGGATTCAAATGTTTTAACCAGTTTCACAGCCATAAAAGAAAAGAACAAGACAAAATTAAACTTTGCATTATTTTACCTCAGCCTTCAGATAAAATCTCACACAGACCACAAAAGTGGCACCAGACTTCAAACTGTTGTTGGTTTTTAGAGTAAATTATACAGGATCAATTTTAGGTCCAGTTTAATTTCTCTACATATTTATCATAATTTACTGCTAGTCTACTGGATTTCCTTTAATCTTAAACTAAACATTTTAAATAAAGCTAACTGGAGACCAACCAATATTTCAGGCAGATGATTGCAGGCCTATCACATATAATAATATACTGATGATGATTATAATGTAGACTATGCACTAAAAAACATTATTTTTAAAAAATAACACATTTCGTCTTTTTAGCACATTTAAATTTAATGAACGTGGATATCGTCGGATATTTATATGCACTATGTGCAAAGATGAAAGAGTAAACACTGCCACTGAGTGAATACATGTGGAAATTAGGCATCCTCATTGTGTTTACATTTTCAGAATATCTCTTTTATATAAAAGGCAGAATGTGTGAGATGATAATTTGATATAAAGCTTAATAGTTTAACCTAATACAAAAAGATCCCTAAGAGAATGAATGTATATTAATGTAACGTCCCCTGAAGTGATGGAAAAACCAGTGTGTGTCTTACAGGCCAGCTGTCCTGAGTCGGGGTTCCCAGCACTCTGAGGACACAGCAGAGCTGCTCGATGTCGTTCTCTCCAGGAAACAGAGGAGACGAGTTCAACAGCTCCCCAAAAATACAGCCGACTGCCCTAAAACACACACACACAAGCACTCACACACGGACTAAACAGAAAGCTGTGACTTCAGACTGCTGCTGCCCCCTGCTGTTCATCTCTGATCACTGGACCCATTTACACCTGAGCAGGAACTGTGAACACTAACAGAGTGAGTGTACTGAAGCTAAAGCTTACTCTTTCTATGTTACATGGTCCCATGTTACATAGTATGTTAAAGAATAATATATAATAAAATACGCTGATACAGGAAAAGAATACAAGCATGCACAACAGAAACAAAAGCATCCAGGTTTATTGAGTAAAAGCTAAACAGCGGAGGATTCACAGTAGATAATCAAATCAAATCAAATTTATTTGTATTGCACATTTAAAGACCAAAGTACACCAAAGTGCTTTCCAGTAAAACCATGATACAGATAAAATCACAATATAAAATATGAATTACAGATATAAAATAATTACATAATATAAATGCAGAGCCAGGTGAAAAATCACACTAATTAGCCTCGAATGCCTGGTTAAATGTAAATCTATGTAAATCTATGTAATGTAAATCTATATAATGTAATGTAAGCTGTAATGGTCGAACAACAGCAAAAAAATTATAGTGTGGGCGCTACTTTTAGCAGCATTTTCAGGGTTGTACTTACCACAGGTCGACTCCCTCGTCGTACTTTCGGGCTCCGTACAGCAGCTCGGGGGCTCTGTACCATCTAAACACACACAGTGGTCAAATGTAACTGAGCACATTTACTGCACATTACTGATAAAGTACTGATGTCCAGTTGAAAGTGGTGATTATTTTAGAATGAACTGAACCAGCAAGTCACATGACATGGCGACTTTAACATGATTATTATTCACAGGCGTGATGAGCACCTCAAATCTGAATATGTGAATCTGTTCTGTGACACATTTGTTCACCAGTCGAGCTTTAAAGCAAGTCTGAGTGAATATTTAAAGTATCGTCTGACTGCATTTTACATGTCACCACGTGGATTTTTCCCAGCAGCACTAAAGCTAATGCTGTGTTAGTGCTACTTTACTTTATAGAGCCATTTTCTGTATTACATTCAGCCTTTTAGATACTGCATTACTGCATTTTATATACAAAAGTACTTACTTTTAGGTTCATTATATTGCATTTAAATTTTCACTCGAGATCTTTCATTTTACTGTCATTTTTCTATTTAAATGAGCATTTTGCTCTTCGTGTTTTGTACCTCACTGAGTTCTTTTGGTAAGTCATACTCTATTTTATTTTGATTAGCTAAAGCTAGCTGCTAAATAAAGTCATATTTACCTGGTGGCCACCTGGTGGCTGTACAGCCTCTCTCCCTGCTCGCTGAATAGCCGGGCCAGACCAAAGTCTGCAATCTTCAGGTGGCCTGAGGAGCTGATGAGCAGGTTTGCTGGTTTCAGATCCTGCAAACACACAAACGTCACTTTATAATGGTTTGATTTATTTTGTTAAAGCAAAAGAAACCCAAACTCTCCACATATTTCACATATTTTCAGCTTTTCATTTATTATGAATAACCAACAGTATTTAAATATCCTTGTATGTTTAAGTGTTGCTTGTTACAAACGCAGGATTCACTGAGAAAACAGTCAGATGACTCATTAATGATAATAACTGTTAGCTGCGCTCACCCGGTGCATGACATTGTTGTGATGCAGGAAAGCCACGCCCTTCAGCAGCATCATCATGTAACTTTTGACCTGCGCAGGGGTCAGAGGGCGCTGGGAATTCCTGATGACCTCAGAGAGGTCAGACAGCATGAAGTCGAACACCAGGACGAAGCCCGTGCCGTGAGGAAAGACGTCCTTCAGCTTCACCACCTGAGGAGGAAGTCACAGAAAGAAGTCCTGCATCCCTTCAGACTCCAGACACTCTGCAGCTTCTTATAATTTTCTCATATAGCCTAATCTCCTTTTTATTAACATGTCTGTTATGCTCGGCTCTGTTCTTGCTGCTCTGCTTTGATTGTCTATGTTTTCCATGTACGAATTTTTGGTTTCTGTTATATCTTGTTTGTGATATCCCCCCAGCCACCAGGGGAGCTGGAGTGTATCCCAGCTACCATAGGGGAGAGGCAGGGTACACCCTGGACAGTCTGTTGCAGGGCTAACACATAGAGGCAGACAACTATTTGTACTCACATTCACACCTATGGGCAATTTAGAATTACCAATTAACCTAACCCCACTAACTGCATGTTTCTGGACTGTGGGAGGAAGCCAGTGTACCCGGAGAGAACCCAGGGAGAACACGCAACCTCCACACAGAAGGGACTCATACTCAGGACCTTTTTGCTGTGAGGCAGCAGTGCTACCCACCGCACCGCTAAACACTAATCAAATTTTAAGATTAAAATGACTCTTATCTGTAAAAACTCTCTGCACATTCACTCACATGCTCGTTGTCCTTGATCTCCTGCAGTGCTTTAATCTCCCTCAGAGCCTGGTTCGGAATGCCGTCTTCCAGCCTCCTCAGAGCCACTTTCTTCAGAGCCACCGTCTCCCCTGTCTGACACACAAGAGCATTTCCATGTCACATTTCTAAGCCGCTGAGGTTAGATTCCAAATTTAATGCTGATCGGATTACACAAAGAAAAGGGGGGAAAGAAATGAGGTAAGATGCAGACATAAAAGCACCAGTCCGTCACCTCAATATGTTTGGCCTTGAAGACTATGCCATGAGCTCCTTCTCCTGTCCGACCCAGAATATTGTACTGCTCCATGTTTTCATGAGCGTGTAAAACAGTTTCAGTTAATCTGGATTTAATCTGGTCACAACTCTCACTGATTTTTTTTTAATTCAAAGAGTGGTTTGAAGTAAACCCCCAATGATGTACAAATTAGCTCCTTGGAGCAGAAAACCAGAGAGGAACGCCAACCTCGAACTTCACTCATAAATTAAGCTGTTCACGATGCTGCGCACGTTTTCTCAATAAGATGTAGTTATTAAACTATTATCTTAAGCCCAGTAAAAGTTGAAACCGTTAACTTACATTCGGCTTGTATTACATATGCAACAACAAACAGCTGTAAAGAAAAGTCTCTCAGAAAATAAATCCTGAGACAGCTAGCTGTTGGCTAACGTTGCCTTGGCAACGTCTTAACTCCGATTACCCAGCTAAAATTTTAAAACTTGTTACTGTTTAACTTCTGCTCCCGGATTGACACGCACGCTTGTTAAGAAAGAAACTACAAAAACGACGATATGTAATTTTTTAATACGCATTTTCATTTAGGACGTTTTAATAATTGTTTCGTGTTACAGTAGCTAGCTACAGATCCGCCCGTGGTCTGCCATGTTTGTTTACAGTGACGTCATGAGACAGGACCACCATAGAGCCAGAGCAGGTAGAAAGCATTAGGCAGAAACAATGTTTTATTTTATTTTATTTTTGATTCCTTTTTGTTGTTCTTGTTCGCTGTTTCATTTTTTTTAACGTACAAACTAAACAATTTGACGTGAACATTTCATTCGATTAATGATTAAAAAGCAATTTTGTTTTTCACCCTAGTTTATAAAGCATGTCTTTTGAACTGTGTAGAGATGTACTTGATGTGTCTAAAATTTAAGATAAATCTGCTCAGGCAAATCCTTCTAATTTCCCTGACCGACAGACAGACTTTTTTTAATCCAATTGGGAAATTCTTTTTTACAGCAGCACGATAAAGAGTAAAAATTATTCACTCCGTACTGGTATTGTACATAACGAAAAAGGCTTTCTATTCTAGTATATTTAAAAAAAAAATAAAGTAAGGCTTTTTTTGAAATTCCGAATTTATGCTATCATTAGTTGACAAGCGTTTGCTGTCGTTTTGTCTTTTCTGTTCTCACAAAATCTATTCTTTGGGTTTATTTGGAAACCCGGAAGTACTTGTTCACAGTTTCTTCCCATCCGGTGTAGAGTGGCGTGTTTACGTCTTGTGTTAAGCATGCTAGCCGGAGAGTTTGGTGTCCAGAAACATTAACGTTTACGACAGAGAAATCGGGTAGTTGGCAGCTGGACTTTATCTGCAGCTCAACCGGATGTTTTTTCTGTTGTTTGTAGCTTCTTTAAAAGAGAAGACAGTGAAGAAATGTCTGCTCCCGACAATGCCACAGCTAGACCTAACGTGGACCAGAAGGTGCTGCAGTATGAAACCTTCATCAATGAAGTCCTGAAGAGAGACTTACAGTAAGAAGACACTACCGCTGATGTCTGAACACAGTTTATTATGTCCGTACAGAAAGCTTTATTCAGTTACAGAACTTTAAAAACTAAAGTAAAAGAAATGTAATCTGTAGTTAAAGTAGTGCAAAATACTTGTGTAGATAGATAGATGTAGATATGAACTCAGATTTTTATCCTGGCAGACTTTGAGCAGGTAGTAGAGGCGATATGAAGGTCAATGAGGAGTGACTACAAATTAAAGTAATTTAAAGCTTAATTAACAGCCTAATAAATGTCAAGTCTCACAGCTGCTGATTGTATAATAGGGCTGGTGTCATTTTTGGTCCCCCTCTGTGCCTTAATTACTTGCAGACTGATTATTAAATACTTACACTCACAGGTCACTTTATTAGGAATACCTGCTCAACCCAAATATCTCATCAGCGATTCATATGCCAGCAACTCAATGCATTTAGGCATGTAGACGTTGTCAAGACAGCCTTTGCGTGCAATGTGTTTTTAATACAGTGGGATTGTCATACATGTCACTGCTGTGCCAGCACTGCAACAACTGGGTCAACAAACCAGACAGAACTGGAGCGTTTTGACCACACTAAGAGGAAACATCTCAAATACCGTACTGCTTCACATTCTGCAGCCTGTACTGCAGAGCAGAGCTCAGCATGAGCTAACAAAGTGCGAAGCACATCCAGTTATGTTAATTTACAGCTTTATATTGTTATTCTTGCACACTATGACACTAGAGTAGCTTTGCATGATTCATAGTAATCATGCAAAGCTACTAATTATTACTAAAATAAATTTTTTTTTGCCTTTGACATGTGGGTGGGTTATATTAGGGATATCTCTTCTCAATGACATCATACAGATTTAAGACTTGGAAAAGTATTTAGAGGAATCTAAGGCCTTAGCCTTTGGTTCACATGGGTTACTTGTACATGCACAGACCCGACTGGTTGTGTTTAATGTGAACACTGAGAATTTTATTAGGGTGTAAGAAAAGAAATACAGAAATTACTTTGTACAGTTACAGAACAAAATGGTGCAAAAATCTAAAAACTACACGTAAGAAGGAGCTCAGTTATATAGAAGGGATACAATAATGAGCTTGAATCTGTTGTAAGTACACATGTGTGATGGATAAGAAGGGTAGATCTAATCTTACAGGTATTTATGTGGTTCTTCAGGTTGGCATCTGACTGTTTGGTGACACAGACTAAAGAGCTCAGGTGTCTGAAATGCTGTTTGGTGCTTTGAATCAGATTTTCTTGGCGCGTTTAGGCTGTTTGGATTATTTTGGTCCATCTGAAGGCGTTAATGTTCTCTGTAAATCAAGTGACGGCTGTCGTTTGGCAGGAAGGTGGTGGAGCAGAGGGATCAGGTTTATGAGAAGATCTCTCAGTACCTGCAGCTGAAGAACACCATACAGAGTCTGCAGGTAAACGCACACAAAATTTATTGTGTTATTTTGAAGGCCTGTAGGTTTTTCAGTTTAGAAAAGAAGAGACTTCCACATTAAACTGGAGATCGTTGTAGTGATTCCCAAGTGTTTGTGCTGGCTGTCATTCTCTGTTAATGTTAAACGCTTCAGTCTGCTGGTTAATGAGCTGCAGACTGAACTCTGCTGATACAGACACCTCTCTCTGTAGCTTCTCTGTGTGAGCTGTTTCTGTAATTCAGCACACTCTTCTGTGAGGAAAGGTGGAGGAGCTTATCGCACCTCCATCAATACAGCTGAGCCTCACTGCAGCTGTTTATCCAGCAGATCAATACGTGTGGCTCATTAGGCTGTGAACCCAAACCTCCATCGTCTGGATCAAAGAGCCTGAAACTACAGCTGGAAAAAAACATTCAGACATTTTGCCTCCACTTTTCAGATATTTGAAAAGATAATTTTTTATTTGTTTTTATTTTATTTAGAGGATAGAAGTTTTAATTTTAGTTTTCAGATATTTTTAAAATCATTTTCATAATCATTGATGTCTGTGTAGGTTTTCAGTCATCCGGGTCATGGCAATCTAAGGAGCTTGGAAAGAAAAGCGACTCAACTTCTTTAAGTTTCTTGAAGACGTTTCATCCAAGAAGCTTCTTCAGTTCTAAAACCAAACAGTGGAGAGTCCCAGGTATTTAAGTCCTAGTGGGAGTTGTCCCATAAGAGGGTCGTTGACCGACTATTGATCGTGTGCCTCATCACACACCTTGGCTCATGCGATGTAATATTTTGAACTCTCCACTATTTGGTGTTAGAGCTGAAGAAGCTTTCCAGATGAAACGTCTTCAGTCGCTTTTCTTTCCTAGCTCCTTACATATTCACTGATATATTTTTCTGCGGAAACCCCTCCAAACAAGCCAAACTCATTCAGTCTCTTTTCTAACTGTCATGTCATGAACTTTAACCTCTAACATGCTAACTGAGGCCTGTAGATGCTGAGATGAGTACTTTTTTCTCTGAGCTTGGGCCGCCTGTTCCACGAGTGAATGAAAGTCACACTCTTCTTTGTGTTCCTGCAGGAGGCGGGCTCTCAGCAGCTGAAGACTGACGTTGATCTTGGCTGTAACTTCTATGTTCAGGCTGAAGTGTGAGTTGCTGACACACGAAGGTCATCATCAGCTGTTCTGCATTCAAACAGGCACAAATGCTGCATTTAGGCTAATGAAATGTGCTGCGAGACTCCAGAGAGGCAAGAGGATCCGTGCTCTGTGTTTCCTGTTTAAACTCAGTTCTCGTTTTCTTCTCCTCCATCAGCGAGGACTCATCCAGGATGTTTGTGGCCGTCGGTTACGGTTTCTTTGTGGAGATGACTCACGACGAGGCTCTGAGGTTCATCGAGAAAAAGACGAGTCAGCTCACAGCGTGAGTTCATTGTCACTGTAACACTATTAAGATTAAAAGTAGGAGAAAAAAGCATAAAAAAATGAATTATGTTTCAGATATGTTTCAAATGAAGGTCAGGATTCCACTTTGTTGTGAAATTATTTTAAAAAAATATGTTAGAGCTATTTATTTTGAAATGTCCTGATTTTGTTTTTAGATATTTTTGGTGGGTTTTCTGAACATCTATGATTTTATTATTAATTTTATCTTTAGATATTTCTCAAGTATTTTTTTCCACACTTAAATTTTCCAGTTTAAAACATTGATATTTTTGTTGTTGTTTTTTTTCTGACAAATTCCTGTTTTTATTGTACTTAAAAATTAAGTTTTATTTGTTTTATTTATTTATTTATTTATTGGAATTATTGCTAATTATTACTATTTTTTTATTTTATGTCTTTTGTAAGATTTTTTTTAATTTTTATTATTATGATTGATTATTTTTTTATGATTTGTTGTTGCAGACTAATGTCTATTAGCTAGCTCATGTTAGCTCTTTGCTAGCACTGTCACTTTCTCTGAATGAGAGATGCTAACCATGCTAACCCTGTGTTTGTGTTACAGCTTCACTGAGCAGCTCACAAAAGACTCTGCCAAAATAAAAGCACACATCCGCATGGTGCTGGAGGTCAGTTTCTTCTCAGGCGGATTATAGGACAGTTTTTATATAATAATAGTTTCTGTTGGGTGCAGGAGTTTTCCTCTGGCTTATACTTAAGTACTAAATAACTTGTTACTCATTTCTGAGGATTTTACAGTCAGTGAAGTTTGAACATTGAACTGGAAATAAAAAGTTTTGCCCACCTGATGAAAAATAATCAAGATCAGATTTGAATATGTTCAGTTAAAAACTGTTTTTCAGTATTTACTGGTGACAAAAGGGTTAAAATAGTCAGATTTATCTGATTTATGATCAGATGTTAAAGAAGCAGGTAAAGAATCTGATTGGCTGCTCTTTTCTTCTTCATGTTTCCCTCCTCAGGGTTTGAGGGAGCTGCAGGGCCTGGGCGACCTGCCAGAGAGCAGAAGAGGAGACGTTTTTTAGACTTTCCCGACTGACCAGCTGCAGAGGACGGGTTAACGAAAGCCGGCTGCTGATGTCAACGGTGTGCTTTGGGAAAACAGGTTCGAGGAGAAGGAAAGACTTCAGGACTAAAGCCTGAAAGTCGTCACAGAGCTGAAGAGGAGGATTAGTGCCTGAGCCTTCTCAGAGTCAAAACTCACTGTCATGAAACGCGTACACTCGACGTGACTTTGTGTCTTTGTGAAACTCATCTGTTGAAAATCAGAGAATATTCCTGTTTTTTGTTGTCTTCAGTGTCACATTGAAAAGGGGGCTGCTCAGAGATGATCCTGCAGCCTCTAAACAGACACTTTCAGTCAATGTGACAAATTCAGGTTCAAACAAACCTGATCTCATAGGTTGAAAACAATGTGACAGGAAGTGAGTGATGTTTCACTGTTTGGAGTTTGAAATAAATTGTTTTGTGAAAATGATCCAGACAGCTTTCCTTCCTTCGGTTTGTTGGACCTGTGCTCAAGGTGTTTCCTGGGTTTTCATAGAAATTCTTTGGATGTTTTACTGATCTTTGAGGATTTCACTTTTTTCCCCCTGACTAGCTGTTTTCTAAAGTTCTTTGAGAATGATGTGTTTATTCAGGTGTTTCAGGACTTTTAGCATCGTCCAGCCGCCTCCTGGAAACCCTGCTGAGGCTGATCCGACACCAGGATGGGTCCACATTAACAGGTGGATACTCTCCTCTCCTGATTCTCTCTTGAGCCATCTTGAAGTTTTCTCATCTGTTTCAGTGGTAATACAGATGTCTGTTCTCCTTAATCTTCTCTTTAATGCCCAACAAGTTGAAGGCTTTAGACACAACACCTCCTCATCCGGCCTCCACTGGGAGACACTTTGCTCTCCATTCAGCTTGCTGACAGCCGGCCTCTTCTACGGCGGTCAGCCATCCTCCAGGAGTGGGGCTGGTGACTCCCCTTTGCCAAACACGGTGTGTCTCTGGTTTCCACAGTTCGGTCCAAGTTCATGTTCTCTTTGATCCTGCTGCCTCATTCCCACCATCTTCCTTCTCGACTGCTGTTCTCTTCCTGGACTAAGCAACACGTCTTTCGCTCTGATGTCACGACAGGAAGCTGAAGAGGCTCCCAGACCAGCCCTGGCTGTTGTCATCACTCCCACCTGCTGCAGTCTGCTGCTCAGACAGCCTCCTCTGCCCCCACTTCACGCTCAGCTTTGGCCATATTTGGATCTCTGTACTGCCACACTTCTCTGGCTCTCCCCACTCTGAGCTTTTTGTACTATTTCTTTGTACGTTATTCCTCATGATAAACTTTTTACATGTCAGTAATTTTTTCAATAATATTTTTAAATGATGTTCATTCATTCTATGGACTAATAAGCTTCCAAAACAGGTTTCAGTTATTTTAATATTTTGAAATATTTATTTTGCTGAACATGTGTCCATATTTGTCTTATTTTCTTATTGTTAGTACAAACGTAGTACAATTTTCTCTGTTAGTACTTTTTAATTTTTTCTACTTTTTTTTATAAATATGTTTCAGACATTTTACTGATTTAAAAAACATATTTTACTAATATAACATTTATATGGAGTAATTTAAAAGATGAGTACAGCGACTGTGACTCACGTCTTTCCACCGTTATTTCAATCAGAATGCTTTTGTTGTTATCACATTATAAAATACATAAAATCGAGTGCTAGTTCTGTCTCAAAAAAAGAATAAAAAGTCAGCAGAAGCTGATAAATAATGATCAATATTAAGGTGTCAAGCATGAAAGAGACGGTGCTTTACAGTATTCGATTTCAGACAGTAACTGCACTGTTTGCCTTTGTTTTGATGGACTTTTACCTTCAACCACCGGGCAACAGGTCAAGCAGAGTCCAGAGTGAGAAAACGTCTTCTGCTCACCTTCAAGGCCATTCATAACCTCACACCTCCTTACCTGTCTGACCTGTTAAGCACTACATTCTCTGCCCACTCGCTTTGATCTTCTTCTTCTATCCAGCTTTCTGTGCCTTCCTTCCACCTCACCGCCATGGGCAGCAGAGCTTTCAGCTGCTCTGCTCCCAGATAAAGGAAACACTGGTTCTCTCCCCCAGTTTAAATCCCAACCCAAATCCCATCTGTTCAAATCTGCATATTCACTGTGAGCCCACAGTTTGTTAATTTTATCTTGTGCTTTTGTTTTTTTATTGTTCGTCATTGTTCTATTATGTGTTTTTATCTATTGTACAGTGTCCTTGGGTGTCTTGAAAGGCGCTTTATAAATACAATTTATTATTATTATTATTAATCATATTTAGTGATTTTAAGGTGATATTTTGCATTAACAGCTTCTTGTAGGGAGGGGAGTGTGCAGCCAGCAGTCTTTGGTAATGTGTTTGTTATTTCCTTCTGATTACCCTTTTTATCTGCTGCAGCGCATCCGGCTGTTAGGCAGTACACCGGGATGCTTTCTACACATAATAAAAGGCCACCAGCAGTTTGCCATGCACACAGTTCCTCTTCAGCAGCCTCAGGAAGTGAAGTGCTGCTGAGCTTGTTAATGTTCACAGACCAGGTGAGGTTGTCAGAAATGAGGGTCCTTCTCTACACGGTTCTTACTATTAAGCAAATAATTGAATAATCTTAGAAAGAAATCTTTCATTTGGGAGATAAAAGGTTGTGCCAGAACAGAAACATCCTGCTCCAAACGGGTGGAAATCTCTGCAGCAGGGTCACATGTGATCCACTGTCCACATACTTTTGGAAATCCTCCGATGAGATGCGATTGTGCGTCGAACTGACGCACAAACAGACCCTCAGCATATGTAATGATTATTGAAACAAGATGTAGCGGTGCTTGGCCATTAGCTCAGCTGCTTTTTAGAGATGCAGCGCCATAAAGAACCTGTTGCCATGGAAACTGGATGCTGAATAGAGGCAGTGGCGTAAAGAAGCAGAGGGAAAGAAAGAGAAAGATGTGATGCCGACTGAATGGCCAGAGCTCGGCCAGCATGTGGTCGATTCTAGCTGCAGTCAGACAGGAGGAGGTGATTTCAGCCAACTTCTTTAGAAGAAATCCTTAATGAGAGTCGCTGTAAAACAAAATAACGACGTCAAGTTTGAAATCAAGATTCAAACCCTGTTACTCTGAGTGAAAGACGTCATCCCAGTGCACTGCAAGAAAGGATCTGTGGATCTTCACATTTGCATTTATTTTCGTTTTTAGAGTTTGAAACAACTCTAAAAATCACGTCCCAAAGTATGAACACAGACCTCTTCATGCAGCTTTACAGTGTCCTGAATAATCAGACATCTTCCAGTGGAGCTGTAAAGCTCCATCCTCGGGATTATTCCGACTAGACTGGAATGAAGAAGTGGACGCTCAGATCGCTGATGAAGTCTGGGAAAAATCTTTGGAAAAAATTGGTGGTACTTCTATAAATGCTCACGTTCAAAACCGTCCACAGACTACACTTCTCTCCATCCAGATTACATAAATTATTCAAAGACATTCCACCTCTGGGTGTGAAAGTTCAACAGAGAAAGGAACCCGATCTCATCAGTGTAACAGATTACAGACTTTGTCACCAAGGATTTAAACAGGGGGGGCTTTGTTTAGCCCCTCTTACAGCACAGTGTAGGGTGATGATTCGTGCAGTGTGGAGGATTAGCACATTTCCTACAATCCAGGAAGTCTGAGACGCCTCCAACAAGTCAAACAATGCAAAGGCTGAAAAGTTGAACTGAAACTTTTTTGGTCTTATTGATGATGTCACACTGTCCTATAAATATGTATAACAGATAATAATGTAATTGAGTCTGTATGCTAACGCCATAAATACTAACACCTAAATCCTCCTTAAGTACCTTTTTTTTAGCTCTCTCAGAGACCTTGTAGTTTAATCTACCTGATGTTTTATAAAAAGATAAAATTATAATTAATTGATTATTATAAACAATATTATATTTCTTATAAAGTGAATATTATGAATAATTAGTGCTTGAGATTATTGCTGCATTTTAATTTTGCAGCATGTTTGCAGTTTTAGTTCAATATTCCTTTCAGCTTTGATTTCATTTTACTGTTTACTGAAGACAGAAATATTTTGATAGCATTTTTATAATATTTTTCACTGCTTTCCTCCTTAAACGTAAATGAAAGATTACAGTAGTACTGTCAGTAGCAGTGCTCACACGATGTTTACCATGAGTATAGGTCAGGGTCACCTCATGGCTACAGCTGGTTCCTAGTGACAGACTTCAAACTTTAAAACAAAAAGGTTTTCATCTGAATTATTAGAGAATGAGCTTTTTAACAAAAATAACGTCCAGTTTATATAATTTTGTCACAACCCGGTTCTTAAGGATATGACAAAGAGGCGGACACACCTTTAAGAAAATAGTTTATTAAGAAATTAAAGAGAAACTAATTCAGCACACGGCATGGTGGCAGGGAGAGAGAAACGCGGGAGTCCCAGCCACAGATTTATAGTCCGGGAACACACCTTCCAGGTGTGCTCAGGAGCCCCGCCCACCGAAGACCTGAAACACATGTAGAGAGAAAAGCCTGGGAACAAGGGGCAGAGATTTAACTGTGAAAACCTGTGAACAAATTTAGACTTACCTTATTTTATCACAGTACCTGAGATACGAGCATTATTCCCTGTTTCCAAAATGGGATTGGCCGTGCGAGCGGTTATCTTTGCAAAGACCGCAGCGGTGCGATAAGAGTGCAGATCTGACATCGATAAGATGCGTTTCACTGAGTTCGTTCAGCAAAGTTTGGCGGAGTTACTCAGAACTCCTGTCCATGGAGCGCACAGCCGTCGTGACGTCACCCCCCGTTGCTGCAGAAACGGTGCTTTCACTCACCGGAATTCAAACAAAGCGCGAAAGGATGTTCTTCAAAATAAGAGCACATAAAACCCGCAAACCTTTCATTTGAAAACGTAATTCCACACAGATTTATGATAATATTCATTGGCTGATTCGGTCACTGATTCGAGGTTTAAAAACAGGGCAAAACCCCCAAATATATAAAATAATTTTGCTAAAACCCAGACAACGAGCTGATACGGAACTTTGAGAAGCAAGTCTGCACTCAGAAACCTCCTTTTAATGGTTAATTAACCTTAATGTCAGTGGTCAATGAGACATGAAAATTACACGTGTGCATTCATCAGTCAAATATGAAAAGTTTGTCTTTAGTGAAGACTTGAGACTCCTCTAAACACTCTTTTACCTACACTGTCTTTTCTTTGTTTGTTTTTTACTCTTTTTTTTCTATGAGGAAGTGTCTCTAATGACACTCTCTCAGGCAGAGAAGCATCCACCAACAATTACAGCATTACAAAGTGCAAAAATATTAAAACAAGTCACTGTAACTGTTTTTTAACCAGTTAAATGATCAAAAATCTTTATATTTGTCAAGCTCTGCAAAAGGTGAATACCTTACTAGGTATTTAAAAAATGTGAGTAACTCAAAATTTTGAGATACTAAACTTAAAATTTGGCATATGGCTAGCATTAAATAAATGAATAATAAAATAAATAAGTAATAATGGTAAAAAAAAAAATACATTTAAATTAAAAAGTGCTGGAAACAAGCTTCCATTCCTGAGTTTAGGCAAATAATCGATTTTAAGTAATCTAAAAATATCAAAGTTACAAGGCTTGTTTAAAAAGATCTATGGTAGCAATAAGAATGAAAAACGATCATTTCCTACAGAGAGAGCGTGGGGCGCTTGAGCCATTTAAGTTTTAATCTGAAGGTACACCGGAAGTGAGGCCGTTTGTGTTGAGGCTAATCTGACGAGAATGGAAGCGTTGAGGAGGCGTGTGGTTCCAAACAGGAAGAAACTGGGAAAACACGCATTAAATACGATATCCTCGGACACAGCCTACTAACAGCCTGGGGCAGATGGTACAAACTACTTTTTCTCCATGCCGGAGGCCTGTGGACCGTTCCTGGTGTACTCCTTTTAGATCTGTCCCGCAGTCGGAGGGGCTGTTTGGGGGGGCTGACGCACTAGCAGAAGCGCAGGAAGGCGGGGGGCTGTCATAGCAGCAGGCTAGGCTAGGCTAAGCCTGGCTAAGCTAACCTAAGCGCTGCAGCCCGGAGAAACCTTGAACTTGTGTAAACTTTGTGGAGTACAACACCGGAAGTAGCATCACCGGAGTGGTTAAACGACAACCACGGACTCCACAGATGAGACAAATATACACAGACGTCTATTATTTTTATAGTTTTTTTTTTTCCTAAAAAGTGTTAGCCTGGCAGCGGACTTATAGCCAGTTAGCTGTTGAACACATCCAGGCTCTGGCAGAGGGACGTGAGCGGGAGAAAATCGCCTCAGTTTGCCCCATGCACATCCGCAGAATGGATCTAATTTGCGTTGTTAACCAGTGAAAAGCTATTGGACGCTAACTAACACAGTGGATGTTAATTAATCACTGAGGTATCAGCGGATGAAGATTGTTTTTTGACACATAAGAGGGACTTTTTTTCTGTTTTGTCATATCGGTTTTTGTGATAACTTCTGCTTTCCGTTAGTGTGGTTATCATGGAGGTAGGGGAGCCTGGCAGCGGCAGCTCGGAGCGGTTACATAACGCCAGCAGGCCGGTAGAGAAGCTGCTGAACGTCGCCTCCTCTTCAGCCTCCTCAGCCTGGCTCTGACAGCTGTAAACCCCCTCCAGCGCATACACAGACACACACACACACACACACACACACACTAACAGACTCACAGACGCACAAACAAACACAGACAGACTGACAGCAGGACAGCAGCATGGAGGTGGTGTGAGGCATCTGGGAGATAGAAAACAGCAACGAGAAGGATCGTTTTGCTGAAGATGGAGTCCAACCCACTGATTAACGGTGAGAAATACTGCTGCAGGATACAGTTGCGTGCGTGCGTGTGTGTACCGCAGTCCTGCGTGTGTTTCTGTGCACTTTGGAGGGAAGAAGCAGCAGCTTTGCAACAGGTGTGTGGAAGCTGCTGTGGCCTGCAGCTGGGTTGGACCTGAATTGTTTTCATGCTGCTGCAGGCGTGTACAAACTTGCAGCCTGAGAGAGAAAATCTACACTAAATGCTCTTTAACTATTCACAGTAGGGGGGCAGAAAGTCACTGCAGGGGGGATGGTGTGTGTTTATATGTTTACTGTTGCTACAGCACTAATACCTGTTTATGATTTGGAGCAGAGCACACTACTAGAGATTAATACAGGGGTTATGAAAATGACAGTTTCTGCTTTATTTTATCAATTCATATGAACATAAATGGAAATGCAGCATGCTAAAAAAACATTGTCAATCAGTAACTTCTGAGATGGTATTGCATAGTGAATCGAAATCTATTTGTACGTCTCTGCAGTTTTAATTACATCTTTTTTGAAAAGATCAACACCACTGGTTGACATACAGTTCCAAACCATGACAGAGCCTCCACAGTGTTTTACAGGTGGCTGTAGACACTTACTGTTGTAGCTCTCTCCTGACCTCCTTCATACATACTGATGATGATTTGACTCAGAAATATCAAATTTGGATTAATTGCTCAATTAGACCCTTTGTCAGTGATTTTCACTTGAGTTCTTGTGTAATTTTCATACCTCAACCTTTCCTTTTCCATTCCCTTTCACTGCTTTCTTGACTGCCACCCTTCCACTGAGATCATTGCTGAAACTTCAGTGATCTCTCAGGTCCTGTGTCAGGTCTTGGCTGGATTTGTTTTAAGGACGTGACTTTCAGATGCTGTCTGTCTGATGTAAACAGTTTCTTAGTTCTGCGAGTTTTTCTTTTGTCCTTAACTTGTCCACTTTCTTAGATTTTTCAAGGACATGCTGTACACCATGGCGAGATATAATGCAAGTGCTTGGCAATGTGGTCGAGCAAAAATACTACAGTATGCACTACAGTTTTACAGTACTGTGCAAAATGGAACAACGTTGTGATGATACTGATTGGTTTTGGGCTGCAATTGAGGTTATCGATTGCTTCCATGTGTTCTGCTTTTGCTAGTTGGCACCAGAAATACCTGTTGGCTAAATGAATGATTTTTGTTTTATAATGTACAACGGCAGTATCTATTCGTTCAAAAATGACACAACTTCATTGACCACTAGCCAGAGCAAAAGCCCTGACACATAGCTGTGGCCCATCTGTCTGATCTGACCCATTTTTCCAATCCGATGCCAACTTTCTGGCTGTGAGTGTGTGATACAGCATACCTGTTATCAGCATTAAATTAATAAACCGTGTGTAACCTTGACTACGTTCACTCTGCAGGTCTTAATGCTCAATTCCGATTTTTTGATCAAATCAGATTTTTTTGTCTGCTCGTTCAAACTACAAATAAAATGCGACAGCAAACGTGCTCTAG